AATGAGGTCCAGCCCCACTACGGTTGAGTATGTTGTGTTTTAACTTGCTTTGTTTTTCTTTACTTTTTAAACCTTTTAGTACTTTTTAAATTGTCTTTTATGTAAGTCGCCCGGAGTCCTTAACGAACTCCCCGTGGAGATTCGTACCCTCACCACCCTCCAGACCTTCCGCATAGCCCTTAAAACCTGGCTGTCCCGACAGGCCTGGGGCTAAAGACTTCAACCCCACCCGAATAGTATGATTGTTGTGCTTTTAACGATGTATTGTCTTCATGTGTGTAACTTGTTTTGTCCTTCCCTCCCCCTGAATTGTGAGCCGCCCTGAGTCCCCTCAGGGAAAAGGGCGGCATACAAATAAAGTATATTCTATTCTATTCTATTCTACTAAAATTAACTAATTTTTTATTGTCAACTTTCATATATCAGCCTGTATCCTTCCAATAATAATACAGTTTTATTTCTTTTGTCATTTGTGGAATTGATCTTCTATTTATTTGCAGCAAGATTCTTATAGAACTCTTATAAAAGTTCTATAGGCAACCCACAATACAGGTAGTCCTCAACTTACAACAGTTCATTTAATGGCTATTGAAAGTTACAATGACACTGAAAAAAGTGATTTATAACTATTTTTCACACTGCAGCATCCCCATAGTCACGTGATCAAAATTCACTTGCTTGGCAACTGACTCATATTTGTATCCCAAAATCATGTGATCATCTTTAGTGACCTTCTGAGAAGCAATTCTGGGGATCTGGGGAAGCCAGATCCATTTAACAACCATGTCACTAATTTTAACAGCTGCAGTGATTCACTTAGCAATTGTGGCAAGAAAGATCGTAAAAATGGAGCAAAACTCACTTAACAAAATGTCCCAGAAATTTTGGACTCAATTGTGGTCATAAGTCAAGGACTATCTGTATGCTACGAAACCAAAGTTGAGTCAAGTATATAAATGTTGTGCATCAAACAGTTCCATGGAAGAATAGGAAACATTGAAAAGAGATGTTGCTTTCTGCATAAAATACAGTGAAATGTTGTTGAACATGTTTCAGTTTATTTGTATATCATGCAGAAGTTGGGCCAAATATTGTACTTTATTCTTTTCATTGAACACCTGGAGTTGTAAAATGAGTCTTGTGAAACTTAAGAATGACTTGGAAATTTATTGCCTCGTGAAAAAATTAATTAACATCTTTGTCTCCAAATACAATCAGTCTCATACTAGGGCAGGGGTGTCAAACTCAAGGCCCATGGGCCAGATCTGACCCACAGGGCCACTCTGGAAACAGCGAAGGACTGCCCATGGTATCTCTGCCAGCAACAATGGAGCTTAGGAGGGCCATGTGCTCCATTTTCACTGACAGAGGGTTGCAGGAGGCTGTCCCAGCCAAAAACAGAGCTCAGGAGCCTGTTTTCACTGGCAGAGCATTCGGGCCACCATCACCCTGTCATGAGTGATGTCAAGCTGGGCACACCCACCCGGGCCCAGAGGTCAAACACAACCCTAATGTGGCCCTCAATGAAATCGAGTTTGACACC